TTATAGCCGCTTCCGCTCAATGGCAGACTTCCTCCGCGATCAGCGTTTCAGCACCTTTGATGAATATTTATATTATTTACATTATTCGGACTGTTGTCCTCATTTTTGTTGCCATATTCACGACGTTTCGGCCGTTCTACTCTCCGACCTTCTCTGGAATTTTGAACGGGGTAGATTCTAGTTCCACGTGACATGCCTCTTCCGGATATCTCAGTTATCACCCTTTAACTCATCTCTCCAAGTTTTTGTTCGCCTCTGCAGTTGCCAGGTATTGGACTCATAACTATTTGGTTCAAGTCACTGGATCCAACTAATGCTGGATCCAACTAATGCTGGATCCAACCAATGCATTTTTCCCCACTGGGCCATTTCAACAAAGATAAGGACAGCAGTCCGAACAATGCATTTTTCCCCACAGAAATATAGACAGCCATTTTGAATAAAGCAATAAGGATGAAGACAACAGTCCAAACAATGTAAATAGTGTAAATAATTACAATACCTCATCTCAGAAATTTAGACACTTTTCATGAAGTGAAGAAAGCTTGTTTCCAGTTTTTTGATTCAAAGCCAGCCGACTGGTATTTGAGACAGATTCTGATGCTGGTTGATCGCTGACAGAAGATCGTCGAGAATGATGGACTTTATTTTGAAGAATGAATATTGTTTTCTGCATCCTAATTGAGTCAGGAGTTTCTGGTCAATCTCATATGGGTGTGTGTGCGAGTGAGAGAGAGAGAGAGAGAGAGAGAGAGAAAGAGACTGGGTTACAGTCCAAACAAAGTAAATAGTGTAAATAATTACAATACCTCATCTCAGAAATATAGACACTTTTCATGGTGAAGGAAGCTTCTTTTTTTTTTTAATAGTTTTGTGATTCAAAGCCGGTGGACTGGTATTTGGGACAGGATTCGGATGCTGGCTGATAGATGACCAAAAATCGTTTAGAATAATGGACTTTATTTTGAAGAATAAGTATTGATGTTGTTCCATAAAATATTGTTGTTTTCTGCTTCCTAAGTGAGTCAGGACTTTCTGACTAACCTAATATGTGTATGTGTGTGTGTGTGAGAGAGAGAGGGAAAGAAAGAAACAAACAAACAAAGGGAGAGAAAGATAGACTTTTAATGGAGTGAAGAAAGCTTGTTTACAGTTTTTTAACTCAAAGCCAGCCAACTGGTATTTGGGAGAGATTTGGCTGATCGCTGGCAGAAGATCGTCGAAAATGATGGACTTTATTTTGAAGAATAAATCTTGGTGTTGCTCCATAAAATTTTGTTGTTTTCTTTCTGCTTCCTAAGTGAGTCAGGACTTTCTGGCCAACCTAATATAATTTTAAAAAAATTAACTATTGCATATATTCTTTTCTACCTTCGTTTTGGGACGGAAGACACTTACATAGCCTGTTTCTGGACAAGGAATACCAGAAATTATTATCCTCATAGGGTACATGTCACTGGAAGCTGACAACGACCTTCCCTACCTTGGTAACACTCTCTCACAATCCGAAACATGAAAAAAGAGACATTGACCACCTCATAATTGGGCCTTTGGGAGACTCAGCAAGCGCGTATTCAAAAACCATGGACTCTCCTTCTGAACTAATGAGTTATGCTAATATAAAATTACTAGATTGGCCAGAAAGTTCTGACTCACTTAGGAAGCAGAAAGAAAACAATTTGATTGATCTTTGTCTGGTGAAATTTTCAAAGATTACTGCATTTCGAGAATATTCCACAGAGTCGTACCATCAACGCTAAGCTGTATTGTCAGCAGCTAGATCGCGTGTATGATAAACTAAAGAAGGAATATGCTGCTTTGATCAATCGAGGTCGGCCTTTGTTTCAGCAAGACAATACGAGGCCACACACTGCCAGGTTGACTAAGGAGAAGTTCAAACAGATGGACGGTGTTGAGAATCTTCCACATCCACCATTCAGGCCCGATGCTGCTCTGGGTGACTATGGTCTACTCCACTCAATTGCACACTTCCTCCACGACCAGCGATTCAACCCTTTTGATGAAGTGAAGGAAGCTTGTTTATAGTTTTTTTATTCAAATCCAGCGGACTTGGATCTGGGACAGATATGGATGCTGGCTGATCGTGGGAAGAAAATCGTTGTGAATGATAGACTTTATTTTGAAGAATACATGTTGGTGTTGTAAAATTTCGTTGTTTTCTTTCCGTTTCCCAAGTGAGTCAAGACACTCTGGCCAACTTAATATATTATACGAACGTTCTTACTTGCTCGTAACAAAAAATTCGTTTCTGTTTGTCTTGTTTTTATGCAGATTCTGATGAAAATTTCTGCTATCAATCTTCTTTCACGTCATATTCTGTGGGCTACGATTTTTTTATTACAATTATTTATCTATTTATTGTGTAAACATTTTAATAACGCATCTTTCATTCTCATATTCACTCAGATTTCATAAATATAGGTCAGTGTCCGTTTTTTTCATTTGCTTCCACTTGTAAGACTGTATTTCTCGTTAATCTTAATCTTCATAAATTTCATAATTAATCTTCATAAATTTCATAATATCATAAATTTCATAATAAATCTTCATAAATTTCATAATTTCATAAATTTCATAATTAATCTTAAATTTCATAATTTCTCGTTAATCTTAATCTTCATAATTTTTTTACTGAAATCAGAGATACAATTATTGAGCTTTAACTTGTACTGCCAAGCGGTGAAGTGTTAGACTGGAAAGACATTAGATTCTGCCCAGTCGTAATTATCACAGTTCTTCCTCCTCCAGCACAGCCATTATTACAAAAGGTAAGTAAACAGTAATAAAAACAAAGAAATTAAACAATCGACATGAAAATGATGCAGGTAGTAATCGATCATTTTATTGTTTTGTCTTCAGGCATTCTCGATTGCAACTCGAAATATTTTATTTCCCATGATGCACTTGCAATAATCGTCTGTTTTTTTTTTCAATTATTGAGAGCTAAGAACAAGACGTGAACCATCATATTTTTTCTCATTTCCTTTCTTTATTTCATTGGTTTTTTTAACATTTGGTTCCCAAAATCTTTCTTTCCGTTAAATTTTGATTCTTCCATTCTTTCTTTCGAATTTAACCCATTTCTTTCTTACAATGACTTATTTCCTCATTTCTTTCTTTCTTTCTTTTTCTTTCTTTCTTTCTTTCTTTCTTTCTTATTCCATTACCTTTCTTTTATTTCCATTTCCTCTTTTCCTCTTTCCGTTTCTTTTTTTCTTTCTTTCTTTCTTTCTTTCTTTCTTTCTTTTCTTTCTTTCTTTCTTATTCCATTACCTTCTCCTTTATTTCTTTATTTCCTCTTTTTTCTGTCGCCCCTTCGTTCCTTTCTTTCTTTCTTTCTTTCTTTCTTTTTTTTTCTTTCTTTTCTTTCTTTCTTATTCCATTACCTTCTCCTTTATTTCTTATTTATTTCCTCTTTTTCTGTCGCCCCTCTGTTCCTCTTTCTTTTCTTTCTTTTTTTTCTTTCTTTCTCTTTTCTTTCTTTCTTATTCCATTACCTTCTCCTTTATTTCTTATTTATTTCCTTTTTTCTGTCGCCCTCTCCGTTCTTTCTTTCTTTCTTTCTTTCTTTCTTTCTTTCTTTCTTTCTTTCTTTCTTTCTTTCTTTCTTATTCCATTACCTTCTCCTTTATTTCTTATTTATTTCCTCTTTTTTCTGTCGCCCCTCTCTGTTCCTCTTTCTTTCTTTCTTTCTTTCTTTCTTTCTTTCTTTCTTTCTTTCTTTCTTATTCCATTACCTTCTCCTTTATTTCTTATTTATTTCCTCTTTTTTCTGTCGCCCCTCTCCGTTCCTCTTTCTTTTTTCTTTCTTTCTTTCTTATTTCATTACCTTCTCCTTTTTTCTTATTTATTTCCTCTTTCTTTCCGTTCCTCTTTCTTTCTTTCTTTCTTTCTTTCTTTCTTTCTTTCTTTCTTTCTTTCTTTCTTTCTTATTCTATTACCTTCTCCTTCATTTCTTTATTTCTTATTTATTTCCTCTTTTCCCTGTCCGCTACATTCCATTCTTTCTTTCTTTCTTTCTTCCTTTCTTTCAATTTTTTAATTCCCCAATTCTTTCTTTCTTTAAAATTGTCACGAATTCTTGGGAAAGGTAATAAAACGGCTTTCTTCAAAGTTGTCCAACAAAATCCAAAGAAGGGTCTGAAATATTTTTCTCATCAGAATCCATCGTTCACATTTATAAATCTACCATTCATCAAGGCATTGAATATTCCTGCCATATCTGGTCTGGCACTCTGGTTATATAGCTCCGTGATTTTCGACAAAAATTCATATAAATGTCTGTGATGTAATAAATGTTGACCTGGCATCTCGACTTCAGTCGTTTTCCTACTGCTGTAACGTGGCTCCCCTGTGTCTTTTCTATAAATATTTTCATGGAAATTTTTATGATGAACATCCGTCTTTGGTGCCTCGACTCCGTGAATGGAAGTGTACTACTAGATTGGTAATTATGTCTCACAGTTTTACGGTGGAACTAGCTAGATGCAACTGCATGTTCAATTCTGTTTCTTTTCTCGTACGTCTCGCCTGTGGAACTCTCTTGCCATCTACAATCTCCAACAATTTAAATGCGACGCTAACCGCCATCTTCTGTCTTGCTGAAATCTGTTCTTTTCTTGTCGTGAACTCCTCACCAAAATCTTAACTCTCTCTTTAACTCACAAATAAACCTCTGCGTCTTAGTGGGATTTTTCGCCTTGCTCGTGGTGTGAAAACGTTAAAAATAAATCTCACAGTATGTCTGCCGGCGACACTTAGGCCCCAGTCTACGCATCTATTTAACCTGTAGTCACTTCCGGGGCCGATAACGATTACCTTTTCTTCGTATGGAGACTGCCACTTGAAGCAATATCTAGCAATGCATTTCGCTACAAAACCTCTACTTGGAGTAGAGATTTTTAGATAGATGAATAGATAATAGAAGATAGATGGGATAGATAGATACGAACAATGGGAAGATAGATAGATGATAGATACTAGATAGATAGATAGATAGATAGAGATAGATACGAACAGATGGGATAAATAGATAGATACGAACAACAGATTGAGATAGATAGATAGATAGATAGATAGAATAGATAGATAGATGAGATAGATAGATAGATAGATAGATAGATAGATAGATAGATAGATAGATACGAACAGATAGATAGATAGATAGATAGATAGATACGAACAGATTGGGATAGATAGATAGATACTAACAGATAGATAGATAGATAGATAGATAGATAGATAGATAGATAGATACGAACAGATTGGGATAGATGGATAGATACTAACAGATAGATAGATAGATAGATAGATAGATACTAACAGATAGATAGATAGATAGATAGATAGAAGATAGATTGATAGATAGATAGATAGATAGATAGATACAAACAGATTGAGATAGATAGATAGATAGATAGATAGATAGATAGATAGATAGAATGAATACGAACAGATTGGGATAGATAGATAGATAGATAGATAGATAGATAGATAGATAGATAGATAGATACGAATAGACGGAGATAGATAGATAGATAGATAGATAGATAGATAGATAGATAGATAGATACGAACAGATAGATACTAACAGATAGATAGATAGATAGATAGATAGATAGATAGATAGATAGATAGGAACAGATGTTTCTCTGTGCAGCGTCGGTCTATCTGCTGAGATTGAAACAAAGACATAGATAGGGCCCTCTCTTGCAGAATTTACTGTCATGACACTTCAGGAAGTGATGGATCATGGCTCTCCATGACATCCTAGAACTAAGTAACAGAGAAAAATATACGCATATATTACAGTGTGTATGATGAGGTGCGTGGACGCTAACACATAGAAAAGGGGGAAAACAGAGAATGATACAGGAGAAGAGAAAAGAGATAGAATAACTAAAGAGAGGAAGAGGGGGGGGAGAAAAGAGAGAGAAAAAGGAAAGAGAGAAAGAAAAGGAAAGAGGGAAAGAAAAGGAAAGTGAAAGTAAAGAAAACTAAAGAGAGAAAAATAAGTGAAAGAAAAGGAAAGGGATTATGAGAAAAGAGAAAGAGAGAAGTAAAACGAAAGAGAGAAAATAAAAGAGAGAAGGGGGAAAGAAAAAGGGAGAAGTAAAGGCAAAAAGAGAGAGAAAGAGAGAGAGAGAATAGAAAGAGCGAAAAACTAAGAGGAAAAGATTTTTTTCTTAGATAAGCCAACAATCTTAGTGCTCTTTTATGTTTTGAGATTCGCTTTGAATATTTTTTCGTTCGCAAGCACATGTGGGCGTGGGCGTTGGCGTTGGCGTGGGTGTGGGTGTGTTTAATGTTTTTTTATGCGTGGGTTGGCGGCTGCTTTTTCTCACAGCCGTATGTTTTAAAATTTTCCCAAATGATTGAAGGTTCAGAAACATCCATAACATAGATTGTATTCATCAGTCTGCATCTATCTATCTATCTATCTATCTATCTATCTATCTATCTATCTATCTATCATTCATCTATCTATATCTGTTCGTATCTATCTTCGTCCGTATCTATCTATCTATCTATCTATCTATCTATCTCAATATATATATATATATATATATATATATATATATATATATATATATAGTTAAACCTAGAGAGCCAGACCAAGGTTTTCACCTAAGCGGATCGTCAGGAAGGGGGGCTAACACGCTCTATATTAGTCGATTTTAAACAGTTCTCAATAGGGTGGCCTAGAGCTGAATTATTATTTATAGAAATCTTATAAGTATAAGAAACTATACTCGCTCGGAAAACCTTCGGTGTATTGATTTGCAAATAAACAAGTCAATACCAAAGGGAAAAAAAAGTATAAAAAAAGAAAGAACCAAGAACATGTATGTTCACCAAAAATAATCGTCCAGCATACGAGTCAAGGCCCAAAGAAAGAAAACATAGTTTCTTATACTTATAAGATTTCTATTAATATTAATCCAGCTCTAGGCCACCCTGTTGAGCGCTGTTTTAAATCGACCAATATGGAGCGTGTAGAGCCAGCCTTGCCTGACGATCCGCTTAGGTGAAACCTTGGTCTGGCTCTCTAGGTTTAACTATATATATATATATATATATATATATATATATATATAGATAGATAGATAGATAGATGATAGATAAATAAGAACAGACTGATATAGATAGATGGGAATGATAGATTGGTGATAGATAGATGGGAATAATGATAGATAGATAGATAGATAGATGAATACGAACAGATTGAGATAGATAGATAGATAGATAGATAGATAGATAGATAGATAGAAACAGATTTGATAGATAGATAGATAGATAGATAGATAGATAGATAGATAGATGAATGAATACGAACAGATTGGGATAGATATAATAGATAGATAGATAGATGAATATTTTGAACAGATTGGGATAGATAAATAGATCTAGATAGATAGATCTGTCTGGCTCTCTAGGTTTAACTATATATATATATATATATATATATATATATATATATATATATATAGAGAGAGAGAGAGAGAGAGATAGATAGATAGATAGATAGATAGATGGATGATAGATAAGAACAGACTCATATAGATAGATAGGAATAGACTATGATAGATTGGTAGATAGATAGGAATAGGCTATGATAGATAGATAGATAGATAGATAGATAGATAGATAGATACGAACAGATTGGGATAGATAGATAGATAGATAGATAGATAGATAGATAGATAGATAGATAGATAGATCTGTCTGGCTCTCTAGGTTTAACTAGGTCTACTTTACTCACTATTATTTATTTAGTTGTTTTTTTTTCTTCTTTGGGCCTTGGACTCGTATGCTGAATGATTATTTTCGGATAACCTACATGTTCTTGGTTTATAACTTTTCCCCCTTTGGTATTGGTTTCATTATTTGCAAATTAAAACACTGAAGGTTCTAGGGTGACGTCTAGAAAATCCACTTGTTTAACATTAGTTGTAACTATTGTCCAAAGACCTAAATCCTTAAATATCCTATGGATCATTTTCCTAATACGGTCTACCTTAATTTTAGTGGAGTTTTTAACAACTAATAAGCCATCATCTCTATAGAATCTTACGCTATCAGAATCTAGACAATCGAAGGCACTTAAATTGTACAAAAGAAATAATCCAACCAGGTCAGAAGCTGCTACAGAATCCAATGAACCCATTGAAATGTCAAAATTGTCATTGCAAGACATTTTGGTCCACTGTTCATTCTTGTAGACCAGAACAGAATTTCGGCATTTCATGATAATGTCCACTTCACTCTCAGAAATATTAGAGTATTCCCGGGCGAATTCCAAGGCCAAAATGAATAGATTCTTCGATATAGAGGGATAATAGTCGATAATATCGAACTGAATGAAAGTACAGTTGCTCTTATATCAGATGTTATTAAACCAGTTGACAACATCAGCTGTATTAATCCACTGTGATATTCCAAGGGTTGTTTTTATAGTAAGACTATCTTCCAAGATAGTCTTACTAATTCTACCGATTTCTGGTCTAGTAGGATTTATAAGCCTACTAGATGGCTTAGTTCTGAATTGTGGTTTATGGTCTTTTAATAAGACATAGGCTTCTTTAGTTTGTAGTTCACTGACCCGATTATTAATCTGTAGTTTATCAGTAATTGATATACTGATAGAGTTAATCTTATCTATTTGGTTGAAAATATTTGGATCAATTTTTTGTAGCTTCTGGTTAGACTATCTTTAACTAATGTATCATGATCCTTAGGAGATAACTTATAAAAGTGAGCCGTTTTGTCGGTTTTAACATATATGTAACCGGATTTATTAATATCCTTGACAATAACATCAAGATTTTTTTTGAAGGCCTTTTTATATTTATGGAAAGTTAATCCCTTGATGATATGCATTTGGTCATTTATAAATATATTAATAGAAATTAGGCAACGATACATATAGAGATCTATCTATCTATCTATCTATCTATCTATCTATCTATCAGTCTGTTCGTATTCATTCTATCTATCTATCTATCTATCTATCTATCTATCTATCTATCTATCTATCTCAGTCTGTTCATAATCTATCTATCTATCTATCTATCTATCTATCTATCTGTCTCAGTCTGTTCGTAATCTATCTATCTATCTATCTATCTATCTATGAGATAAATAGCTTGAGTTTGAAACAGGTTATATATATATATATATATATATATATATATATATATATATATATATATATATATATATATATATATATATATATATATATATCACTGTCTGTTCAGTAAAATCTTATTGTCACCAAGTCTAGAATCAACCGTTATCTATCCTATATAACCTGTTTCCAAGCTACTTATCGCACTTACTTACTGATATATATATATATATATATCGTTGCCTAAATTCTAGTGAATTAATGTCTTTAGTTTTAATCCGACATAATTATTATTTAAAACGGTTTTTTAGTGGATGCTTATGTTTGAGTAGACGACCCGTTATTTTTCTTTTTTGTTGTTGTTTTTTTTTTTTTTGTTGTTGTTTTTTGTTTTTTTATAACAGTATTTATTCCGTCTACCAGCCTGCGTTCTCGAGAAATCTCAATAAAGAAAATATGTCCTCAGGCCGGGTTCGAACCTGCGTCCTCATGTGTAGCGGATACTACCAGCTGATCGGCTCTAATTTTAAACGGAACGGGTACGGAGGGTACATTGTATGCCTGTTCTATTTTGTACCCGACGAAGAAATAAGTCCTCGTGGCTGGAGATCGAATTTCTTCCTCGATAGCCTATGCATCGGATTACAGACAATGGATGTTTAAACAATCGCTTGTTCTCTTAGAATGTCGTGCAGTATTCGACACTTTTGTTTACCAGAAGTTGCGCCGCCATTGTTTCATATCTAGCCGTCCAGTATCCAGAAACATGGAGTTATGGTTTGTCAGTCATCGGAAATATTGTCAGATTAGAGCACAATCATCTCAAGCGATAAAACCCAAGGGAAGGAGTCAATATTTTATCATTTCCAAGATCAAGTGGAACACAGAACGTTTGCGTACCTCTAAAACAGGTATGGGCAACTTTTTTTTTTCCCCCCGATCGGTACGCCGCATGAGATTTGACTCATATTAAAAAAAAACAATTTATACCCCCTGGTCTTATAATTTTTGTTCAAGTATAAAACGCCTCATTTTATAAAAATGTCCATTTCTGAATAAACTGATCGGACTATAACTTTTTGTCTACATAACCTTTTAGATTATAGAATTAGTAACCTTAAGTAAGAAAAAGTTTATAATGTATCCATGACAAACTGTTTATAATAACGTCAAAGGACAAATATTTTCTATGAAAATTTCTCGGGCATTCAGGCCGGTAAATGTTATTTAATACTGTTTACTATAAACAGAGCATTTACTTAAATACTTGTATCTATAAATAACAACGTTAAACATTAAAAAATGTCTTTAATAAATAAATTGTCGGACTTTGTCCATTTCTTAATGTATGACGTCATTTGTTTACATTTGATACGCCAGAGCAGTTATGAATGTACGAGATTCATGGAAGATTGAAGTTTATAAGCAGTAAATTCGACCTTGCCTACCGAACGCTCCTTTGTGGCCGATCGTTAAGGCACGTCAGCGTAAATGACGGTTCCGTATAGGATGCAGGTTCGAATCCTGTCAAAGAACGAATATTTTCTATGAAAATTTCTCGGACATTCAGGCCGGTAAATGTTATTTAATACTGTTTATCATAAACAGAGCAATTGCTTAAATACTTGCATCTATAAAAAAGAACGTTAAGCATAAAAATGTCTTTAATAAATAAATTGTTGGACTTTGTCCATTTCTTAATATATATATATATATATATTATACTATATCAGGAAGTCGGGAGATCTGATGAAAAATTTAACACATACTGAATATATATCTTTTACATATAAACAAAGGGTTTATTCGTTCGATGCATACATCAATAAATTTTACAAACATTTCCTTTCTTTATTTTTTTTTTTTTCACTTTTCGGCCAGGTTAAAATCTATTCCAGTGTAAACATTCGCATACGCTCGAGGGACGCTCCGAAAGTCATGCCTCCTATTTATTTCCTGGTAAATTTCATCCGATACAGCGGGGGGGGGGGCAGGATAACCTCGTCGGATAGAGCAAGTCTTCACCGAAAAAAAAAAAAAAATTTAAATACTCACATCCCCTATTTGTGCTTGGATATTGCCAATACAAATATCAATGTACGTTGTTTCTTTCTGAAAGAGGAAGTCATTTATCACCCGCTGCTTCATATGCGCTTTCATGTCAGACGCCATTTTTCCAACTTGCCCTTTTGGAAATTACCCCCTCCGTCCCCCAAAAGTTGTTTATGGTGGTTAGGTTCAGAGGTTCAGCCTCTATAGCTCTATCACCTAAATTCACCTTTGACCTCTTGGAATAACAAAATAAATTAATACGTGTGTCATTTTTGGTGTCATTAATACATTTATAATTCTACTGTATTTGATACATAACCATTTCATCAATAGCACATTGGTTTGTGTACTGGTTTTATATATATATTTATATATATATATATATATATATATATATATATATATATATATATATATATATATCATACTCAGTAAATTTAAAAATTAAAATTAAAATTAAAAATAAGTTATTCCAAAATTCGCTTGAAGATGAAACAGAACTAAGGCTTTTAATTTAATTATATAATTAAATTTGAAGTTTTTAGCTTCGGTTTTTGAAACATGGTAATTCCTGTGTAGCGAAGGAACCATTTTTTTTTTAAATCAGTTCATTTATTCTCTGTAAATTTATATTGAGCACTGTTTTGTAAAAACAAAAATATCAGTAAGAACACTGGATTATATATCTTACTTTTCTTTCTTTTTTTACTATAATATATATATATATATATATTAACTTTTAATAATAACAATAGTAATAATGAACAAGCCTATTGATCCTGGGTGTTGGAATAAAAAGCACCTATTAAAAAAAAAACAAAAAACAAAAAAAACTCGACCCCATAAATTTAAGCGCACTACTTGATTGGCAATTAGGTCCCATCGTCTTACTGTTAAAATACCTAGATGTAACCGTAAGTCCTATTTTAATAGTTTCTTCTCTCGCACTTCTCTCCTATGGACTTCTCCTCTGGCTTCTTGTTTCGCTGTTACTTATGATCTTCAAAAAATTAATTGAAGTATCAATTGCCATCTGTTTCCCTGAAACCTGTTCTTTTATTGTCCTTTCTCTTCTCTAGCGTCTTTCTTATTTTCTTTTGCTCTCGGTAACTCATTGGGTTTTAATGGCACTATCGCCTTGCATGGGGTTAAACGAATCGAATAAGAAATATATAGATTAAAATCAATAATAAACTAACAATGACGAAGCTTCTCAAATGCAAACCTGTTTGGATTTTAATCAATTCACCCCATGCCAGGCGATAATGTCACTAAGACGCATCTGGAATGGAAGAGAACGAAAATACTTTAGAAGGGACCGGAGACGCGATAAGCGAACCTGTCTACTCCTATGTATGTATGTATATATATCTATTGGTTAGAACGCTAGCTTTTTGGCCATGAGACCCGGGCTCGAATCTCACCATGGTCGATCGATTTGACAGGAAGGTGACTTCTTCAAGTTATCTGTCTGAAAAAGGTGATCCCAGCGTGCGGCACCATTCAAAAGTGCATGGAAGCCATACCACTGGTATGACCCAAGCCTTCTGAGTGAAATTGGGTTGACGGAACTCTTTGAGTAGCCGTCGATGGTCGTGCTAGCACAAAGTCACAAGTCATCGGGACTGAGGGTTTGAGCGTGCTGGCCTTGTTCAGACTGTTGATTACGCTGGATAACGCGCTCTCTCCCAGAAATAGTTGCAGTATAAATCACAGGTGGGCTCTCCCCGAGTAGGCCTCTGCAAACGGGGACTGAATAGCCGCC